CTATCTTTTGTGCTATACATCACCCAGTCATGGCCTCTTTCCTTCTCCCATGGTTCTGCCTCCAATTGTTATGAATTGATGTGGGGCCAGTCATGATTTTGTGACAGTTTCTTTGTTCTCCACATCCTATGTAAGTGGCTGAGTCCCTTTGATTCTGGGAAACCATTGTGACCTCATGCTGACGGCTTCACTCCTCTAGATGCTTTGTCTTTATCATGTCTTTGTCCTGCTTTAGACTTAAATCACTGTGTCTTTATAAATTATATTTTAATTTGCCGTCTCTTTTCTTCCCTAGAACACAATAAAGCAATAGAAGTGGCCCAAGTGACATAGAATGGTGGGAAATGGTCTGGCTGACGAAAAAGCAAGGAATTCAGTTAATTTATAGGGTAGGGCAAGAAGCAACAAAAGTAAAACAATGTCAGTTTTGCAGGAGGAAAAAGATATTGCCGTACAGAAGTCTTTTGAGTCAAAACAAGAATTTGAAGAATTTTAAATTAAATAGAAGAAAACATTACACAGACTCTTCATAAGTGCGACGAGCCCCATTTTTTGTTTACTGGTTTATTTATTTATTTATTCCACAGTATTCTTGAGACTTGGGTAACAAGAGAGATATTAGGGAGCTCTGGCTGCCAACAACAAGGTGGGTGGATCAGAACCACCAGCTATTCCCCGAGAGAAAGTGGAGGCTGTCCCTCCCATAAAGATTTACAGTCTCAAAGATAGGGTATGGTGACACAGAACTGACTTCATGGCAATGGGTCATACTTTATTAAATCATAGGAATAAAGGTGGCATATGATTTATACACATTTTTGGAAACTGTAAAAAAAAAAAAATACAATCCCAAAGGCATTCCCTTCCTCCCTTGAAAAGCCCAGAAGAGCTGTTGGCTGGTTATTTCGCTTCAGGAGATCTTCATTTTAAAGACTCTTTATCGGGCTTCACTATGGTAAGGTGTAACTTTGAGGTTCAAGGTTTCCCAGGTCTATACATCTTACCTTGTCTAATTAGAGTAGAGATTTCTGGGGCCTGCCTGCAGGTGGACAGTTGTCCTTCCCTTAAGAGAACAGAGCGGTTTTGGGAGAATGAGACTACAGTGGTCCTTGACGTCTTACTTCGTATTTGGCAAATAACTTCCCATCCCAGTTTCCAGGTCTATCTCTCCAGAGGAAAATGTGCAACAGGAGCAGCTAGCGTCGTGCAGCCCAATCGGCCAAGCTAATGGTCCTGATATTTTCCTGATATTTCGCTTTTGTGATTACTTTACTGATGATCTGTCTAGTAGAGTATCGGGCTTCTTTGTCCTTGCACTCCTTAACACTTGAAGGAAATTTTAAGTAAATAGAATACGCAACCACTAGGAGGTACTGGAGCTAAGAGTTAGGCGCCTGGGGCGAACCGAAATGGCTAACGGTGGCTCTCCAGGCTCCCTGGGTACAAGCGGGTGGCGCTTTTCCAAGGTCGGGGTTGCTGCGATAAGCATGACTCAAGCGCGACAAAAAGATATTTCAAGTTTACACCCCTTTCCTATGAAAGGAGCAGAAGGCCCACGCCTCTCCCAAGCCTGGTTGCGTCCTGGGATCTGTGTCCTCTGGCACCAGCTGCCTGCACATCTGGATGCAGCAGCGCCTTTCCCTGCAGGGCGGAAGAGAGGCGGAGGACTCCGGTGTGCGCGCACCTCCTCGAGGGCGCGCGTGTGCCCTTGTGCGCATCGCTGTGTGTGTGTGTGTGTGTGTGT